TTTTTTTCTTTTTGCTTATGTGGTGCTGAGGAATCGAACCCAGGGCCTCAGGCATGCAAGGCAAGTGCTCTACCACTGAGCCACCTTCCCAGCCCATGACTTTGTATTTTTAAACAAGTCTTATAACACCATAGCAATTTTGGGCTAGCCTGAATCTTATTTAGGTAAAAATATCAATTATCAATCCAGTGATGTAACACATCAATTTTTTTTACTAGCAATGAATAAAAACTAAAAGCATTCAAATTAAACAGGTTGGACATATTGTTTCATAGGAGATACTTTAGTTATAATTTGATGACATTTTGTATACTATACTCAAGCACAATGTTTGAGGTCTATAAAAAAAAGTAGAACCAATCTTTTTCTGATCTCGTTATATTGTTGTTGCTACTATGTATTCCCCCCCCCCCCGTACTATAGTTTTTGTTTTATTTTATTTTTATTTATTTATTTATTTTTGTTAGTCGTGGGGCTTGAACTCTGGGCCTGGGCGCTGTCCCTGAGCTCTTCAGCTCCAGGAGAGTGCTCTACCACTTGGGCCACAGCACCACTTCCGCTTTTCTGGTGGTTCATGGGAGATCAGAGTCTCAAAGATTTTCCTGCCCAGGCTGGCTTTGAACCGCGATCCTCAGATCTCAGCCTCCTGAGTAGCTGGGATGACAGGCGTGAGCCACCAGCGCCCAGCTATAACTTTTTATTTTAAAGATTTTAAAGACTACAGAGTGGCTGCCTAACAAGGTCCGTGACTTACAGCTTCCCAGAATATCTATTTGTTGTTGTCTTTTAATAGGAAGCCTTGTTTCCATACAAGGGTAGGACACAAGGAATTGAGTGTTACACTGGTGTCACAAGATTATGTCTATGCACTGAAATGATGGACAGCTTATGAGAGGAAAAAATGATAGAATTGTGACTTCTGCCCTCAGCAAGATTCCCAACTCAACTTCTCTGAATTTAGCTCTGATCCTTAACTACTCAGATAAATCAAATAAAAGAGCAAAGAAAAAAAAACAACACTAGAACTATCAGAATGGGCAGTAAAATTTCACACACACACACACACACACACACACACACACACATTCCTATATCACATGCAGAATGGAGACTACTGATATTTCTTTCTAATGGTAGCCTTTAGAAAAGCAGACTGCTAAAAATTACGAAGAAGCCGGGCGCCGGTGGCTCACACCTGTCATCCTAGCCATCAGGAGGCTGAGATCTGAGGACCGTAGTTCAAAGCCAGCCCAGGCAGGAAAGTCCATGAGACTCTTATCTCCAATGAACCACCAGAAAATCGGGAGTAGCACTATGGCTCAAGTGGTAGAGTGCCAGCCTTGAGATGAAGAGCTGAGGGACAGCGCCCAGGCCCAGCGTTCAAGCCCCACGACTGACCAAAACAAAAAGAAAAATTATGAAGAATGAAAGCACAGCAAGGTGTGCGCATGCTGGTCAGTGCCCGTAGCCCAGTTTCTGAGGAGGCTGAGATAGGATGATCTCTACAGTCTGGGCACTCCAGGCCAGCCTGAGCAATACAGAGGCTCCGAGCGTCTCACAGGAAAAGGAGAGAGTACTGCAGTTAGACACATTTCAGTTTACCTGCGGTGAGTCCTGTGTGTCACTGTTTTGAACCTGAAACACAGCAGCTGCATTCTGTGGTCCAAGCAATCTGCGGGCCATCTTTTCCTCGTATGTCAGCCGCTGGGAAGAGGAGACAGCAGAGGCTTGCCATGAGACCTAAAGCTCCTAACTCCTACATAAACCTCCATCTACTGACTGATAACGTGCTTTCCGTGTATTGACTTTCCTTCCTTTTTCTCTTTTCTTTTTTGTTTGACCCCCTTCTGTTTCATCGTTGAGAAAGTCAGGCACTGTAATTCTAGCTACTCAGGAGGCTGAGATCTGAGGATCTCGGTTCTAAGCCAGCCCGGGGAAGGAAAGTCCATGAGACTCTTATCTCCGATGAACCACCAGAAAACCAGAAGTGGCGCTGTGGCTCAAGTGGTAGAGCACCTGCCTTGAGCTGAAGAGCTGAGAGACAGCACCCAAGCCCAGAGTTCAAGCCCCACGACCAACAAAAGCAAGCAAACAAACAAATAAATGGCATAAGCACTTTTCTGTAATAGCTCTGCCAGGCCAGGGAAACTCTTCCTCCTTGTTCTGCGTTTTCTGGTCCTCTCCAGTTTTTAGTACAGTCTTGATTACTCTCACATTCAGAGATCACTCTTGCTAAATGAACCGGTTCAAAGCAGGGAATCCGCTGTGTCAAATGCACTTGGTTTAAAGACGTAGAATATTGTTTTAACTGTGCATAGCAAGAGCTGCATATTAATGGCAGCTACCTTCCTTGTCCAGTGTCACACCGAGATACATGAACAAGTGCAGTAGACAGTATTTCCCATCAGTTGTGACATATTATGAGAAGGGAAACGTTTAAAACAAGAGTTTTCATTAAGTCGATTTTTTTTCTCATTCATTAGGTCATTCTTTTTCTTCATTAATTTCATTCTTTTACAACTAAAAGCCAATTGTTAACTTCACACAGGGCAATATAGAATTATTTTTCTTTTTTTGTCATTTGTGGGTCTGAACTCTAGGCCTGGGCACTGTCCCTCAGCTCTTCAGCTCAAGGCTAACGCTCTATCACTTGAGCCACAGCGCCACTTCCGGCTTTTTTCTTTTTGCTTATGTGGTGCTGAGGAATGGAACCCAGGGCCTCAGGCATGCAAGGCAAGCGCTCTACCACTGAGCCACCTTCCCAGCCCCCCACCTATTTTTTTAAAGGCAATATTACTCCTTGCTGCTTACAGGGATATAGATCTGTAATAGCAAAATATTTTTCCCCCTTTACTTGTGGTGCTAGAACCCAGCCATGATGCATGCTGGACAGATGGTCTACTAGTGAACTGCATTTCCACTGAGATTGGGTGTTCTTACTGCAACTAGATTTTTATAGTGTGTCTCTTGGGGACAAAATAGAAACCATGCCCACTTGATTTCCATTAGGAAGGAGCGGGTCTTTGCATTTCAGCTTTCTCTCCAAATCTTGAATCAAAGCTTCTTTTGAGCCTTGTATCTCGTGGTCAGGAGTCCTTGGTGCAGGCTTAGAATGTGCAGGCTGGGCTGGCTTAGCATTTGCAGGTTGGCCAACGGAAGATGGTTGATAGCTTTTAAGAGAAAAAGAAAACATTTGAATTATTTATTTATTTGTTGCCTGTCATGGGGCTTGAACTCAGGGCCTGGGCGCTGTCCCCTGAGCTGCTTTTGCTCAAGGCTAGTGCCCTACCACTTGAGCCACAGCGCCACTTCCGGCTTTTTCCTGTGTATGTGGTACTGAGGAATCAAACCCAGGGCTTCCTGCCTGCTAGGCAAGCACTCTACTACTATTTTTCTTTTTTAAGAAATGGAATTGAGCATTGTTAAGTCATTGAGTCTATGACTTTGAACTATAATGTTATTTTACTCTGTGTGTGAGTGTGTGTGTGTGAGTGTGTGTGTGCTGTCTGAGGCTTGAACTAAGGGCCTGAGCTCTCTTCCTGATCTTTTATGCTCAAGACTAGTGCTCTACCATTTGAACCATAGCTCCACTTTGGACTTTTTTTTTTCAGGGGGGGGGGTTTAATTGGAAAGTGTCACAGACTTTTCTGCCCAGGCTGGTTTTGAACCACAGTCCTCAGATCTCAGCCTGCCCCACGTCAGCAGGACGTGGGGGAAGGCTGTAGGCATCAGGAGGAGGCCATCCTTCCTCTAAGATCTTCCCTGAAGAACTTTCAAGTGAGTCCTCTGCTCAGTGGCAGCTGATGGCTTCTTCTGAGCTGCTAGATGATTTTTTTTTTTTTTGGTCAGTCATGGGGCTTGAACTCTGGGCCTGGGCGCTGTCCCTGAAGTCTTCAGCTCGGGGCCAACACTCTACCACTTGAGCCACAGCGCCACTTCCAGTTTTCTGGTGGTTCGTTGGAGATAAGAGTTCCTCAGACTTTCCTGCCCGGGCTGGCTTTGAACCGCGATCCTCAGATCTCAGCCTCCTGAGTAGCTGGGATGACAGGCGTGAGACACCAGCGCCCAGCGGTAGCTAAACTTCTTAAGTTTGATTGATTGGTGGCTATTGAGCGGTGTCATGCTACCTGTGGTCTCCATGTTCTAGTGTGAAATGGTTGAAATGGGCAGAGGTATCTGTGAATACCACAAATCATGGCACACTCCTCCAGACTGATCACCCGCACTTCACACACCCACTGGTGTTCAATAAAACATCCTATTGATTTGAGTGGAATCTACAGTCTACACTCTCTCTGGCTTTCTGATGAATTTACACAGTTCCTGTTAAGTTTATGATGTAGAAACTCTCTCCAGCGTCTCTAAAATGAGTAACTCTTAAAGCACTGGCTGTTTCTTTAACCTTGTTTAGATGATTTTTAAGGAAAGAAAAAGGAGGGCTGGGAATGTAGCTTAATGGTAGAGCGTGCCTGCCTAGCATGCATAAAGCCCGGGGTTGATTCCTCCATACCACATACAAAGAAAATGCTGGAAGTGGCGCTGTGGCTCAAGTGGTAGAGTGCTCGTCTTGAGCTGAAGAGCTGAGGGACAGCGCCCAGGCCCAGAGTTCAAGACCCACGACCCGACCCCAAAAGAAAAGTAAAGAAAAGAAAAAGATTCTGAACTATCCTTCAAAAGGACTTAGAAGTAAAATGGAATGGTAGTTCCTTTTAGTAGGGTTTTCACTTCTGTTGGCTTTGGGGATGAGCCCCATCATTCCAAGTCTAATCTCTAGGCACACTGGTGGGGGGGGAGGGTTAGATCAGCCAACGTAGAACATGGTTATAGGGGATGCGTCTGTGGAGCAAATGAATGTTCATTACTGTAATCAAGATACTCTGCACTCAGATGGGCGTTGGCGGCTCACACCTGTCATCCTAGTGACTCAGGAGGCTGAGATCTGGGGACTGTGGTTCAAAGCCAGCCTGGGCAGGAAAGTCCGTGAGAGTGTTATCTCCAATAAACCACTCAGAAAATGGGAAGTGGTGCTGTGGTTCAAGTGGTAGATGGCTTATTTTGAGCTGAAGAGCTGAGGGACAGTGCCCAGGCCCAGAGTTCAAGCCCCACAACCCACAAAAAAAAAACAACAACAAAAAAAAACTTTGCACTCAAGTTGATGGTATACAATTCCTATCCCTCATTTGAGATCTCCCCGGATTTTCACAGTTGTCTATTTTAAGTCTTAATGAAAGTTTCATTTCTTTGGTTACATAGATCATCAAAATCAAGTGCTTAAATAGTAAGCCATCCCTCCCCTCCCCCAACACCACCAAGGTTGAATTCCTGAACCGAAGTGGCAAAATTCCTTTCGTCTTGTATCTCTTCCTTCTCTAGGATGTAGAATGATAATAGGCTATTGTGATTTTTTTTTTCAATGCTAGCTGACCATCTTTATAAGTCACACACAGTTTGTTAAAGCAAGTTAGAGTGACAGGATTCTATTTCACTTTCATGAGGTGTCTTGGAGACCCCAAAGCATTCTTAAAATCAAGCTCAACAATCATCAGATTAAGATGCACCTCCAGGCGCTTTATTCACCGAGTCATTCCTATCTTCCTATTTGATAGCTGCTCGTATTTAGAAACGAGTAGTATACTTGTTTGCAGCTTGATGGGTCTCTTTTTTTTTTTCTCTCCTGGGTGATCTCCATGATGAATTTTGTTACGCAGCAGAACACGGAATCACCACTCACATAAAGCACCTGCTGTATGCCACACAGAAGCTCCGGGTAGAGAATGATCAGAATTAAAAAATGTCCCCTCCGTTTCTGCGTATGTGATTTGACCAAGTGAATAAAATGTTCGCTACAGGGGTCTACCAATGGACAGCTACTGTTTTAGACAGGACGAGCTGGAGGCTACTGTAACAATGACAGAGTCCTGCACCAATGTTCAAAGGGCTTTCCACCCTGTACAGCTGGACACAGCCTGCGTATCAAGTAGCTGTAGGAAGATTAGAAGAGTTATCTGTGGAGACTGAAAATGGAACTGCTAAAGCTGGTTCTTTGATCTCCAGATTGGGGACGTCCCAGGCTCTTTCTTAGTCTCTATTTTTGTCTTTTGTCCTTGCTTCTTGGTTCTGCATAGAGCTATGTATATGGCTGAGGCTCTGTGAATAGTCATTTCACAGCTTTCTTCTCTGAGAAGGGCTGGAGTCGGAGGGACTTAACTAAGAAAAACATGATAGTCAGAAAAGGTTATTTTGTATTTTTAAATATTCCTATGAGAAATTTGGAAATAATAGAAAATGAGATGAATTTAAAAACAAAAACCAATTGCCGGGTGCTGGTGGCTCACGCCTGTAATCCTAGCTACTCAGGAGGCTGAGATCTGAGGATCACAGTTCAAAGCTAGCTCAGGCAGGAAACTCCTTGAGACTCTTATCTCCAGTAAACCACTAGAAAACCGGAAGTGGTGCTGTGGCTCACGCGGTAGAGCGCTCGCCTTGAGCTGAAGAGCGCAGGGACAGCGCCCAAGCCCAGAGTTCAAGCCCCACGACCGACCAAAAAATAAAATAGAATAAAATAAAAACATAAACCAATCATCTGAGTCAATGTAGCCCAGAAAGACTACAATGTATGATCTGGGCATAATGGGAACTTGGAAGGGAAGAGAGAGGATGAGAGAAAGAGCTGTTCCTTCTCGAAGGTACCGTTTAAAATATGATGTTAAGACTATGAAGGCGTCATTTTGAGTCAAAGCTGTTGACAGCCATTTCAAACAGGTTCAACCTAATATCTGAGTTGTCTGATATTTTTTAATGTTTAAAAAATAGGAAAAAGTTTTCTTTGCACATTGATTTCCTGTTATCTGTTCAACTTGGCTTCCAGAGTTTTTACCAATGGGATTTTTTTTTAAATTTAACCTCTAGAAAAGACTAGGAGGAATTGACATGCTTTTTATTAAATGTATTAATAGGCCTGGAACAAGACATATACCACCAATTTTTGAGATGCCTTTAATTCCCTGATGGTCTCCCTAGCCAAGAAATAGGAAAACTGATAGCCCCTGGTTTGCACAAGCACCAAGTATCCAGATCATACTTTTAAAAAAAGCACAACTACTGTGTACTTTTTCATATCAAGTTCTCTCCCAGGGCTTTCTCTGGGCTGTAGACATAGTGCATGCTTGCATAAGGCTGCAGGTATTTTTCCCCACTGGATTTAGATCTGCTAGCCAGCCTGAACACGTTACAGTCCCAAGTACTAAAGAAAATCTGAGTGTCATAAGCCTTTACCTATCCAAGATTTTTGTCTAATCCATGCATGTGACTGTCTGAATTCTAGACTTTTTTCCAAAAAACCCAAAATTGATCATTCAAAACTCTTGTTAGCCAATTTGCTGCTCAGGTTTAGAGGGGACCGCAGCTAGGAAGACAGGACCGAGAAGAAATGGAATAATCTTTGCTTAGGTGAGAGAAACTTGATCTAAGGAAGGACAGAAAGGAAGGAGGCCTTCATCTTAGCGGAGCCCAGACCAGGGAAACTAACTTTACAGCAAGAGGAACTTACGCCAGATCTTGACATTAAAAAAAAAAAAAGGGAGGAGGCTGCAATGCTTGGTAAGAAATGTACGCATTATCCTGCCCATGTAATTGTAACCCCTCTGTAAAGTATGTTCACAAATAAAATAAAATTTAAAAAAGTTCATTGTGTTTTTGTTTTTTGTTGGTCATGGAGCTTGATCCTGGGCCTGGGCGCTGTCCCTCAGCTCTTCAGCTCAAGACCAGCGCTCTACCACTTGAGCCACAGCACCACTTCCGGCTTTTTCTGCTTATATGGTGCTGAGGAATCGAACCCAGGACCTCCTGCAGGCAAGGCAAGCACTCTACCACTGAGCCACCTTCCCAGCTCGGAAGTCCCCTTTCTTGTCAGTACCTGGGGTTCACAGAATTCTAGGGGGGATTATGGAATAGGACTGTAAAGTCACACTATCTCTTTCTAGCCTAAGGAGCGACCTGCGGCCTACCACAGTGCTCTGCGGATGGCTGCTCGCTGGGCGTGTGAGTCACTTACTTCGAGTCCACGGTGGAAGGGGTTTGGCCACTACTGTAATCAGGCTGAGATGGCAAGATGGAGCTTAGGAAGCTGGCCGGGGACTGGTGATAGGTAGCTGTGACCCTTTGGCCTGGGTTGGAGCCAGCAGGCTGCTGAGGGGCCGGGTAACCGGAGGAGGACATGGTGACCTGAGAGCTCACGGTGGCCGAGGCAGAGAATCTTTGCTCGGTACATCTGCGGGGCTGGATGACGATGGAGGACTGTTTGGTCTGGCTTGAGACGCTGGACGTTTCTGGTGCAGGTGGCTGCAGCCTGGAGCCCCAGGGGCTCGGGGACTGGAGGAAGTGCTTGGGACGTTCGTAGTTAAACATGCTCAGGGGGTCAGTGCCAGGCGATGGTGGCCGGTCGCTGTGGTGACTTATTCCTGGGAGGGTGGGGTTCTGAACTTGAGGCTGGCTGAGATCAGAGGCCAGCAGCGCGCTCTGCCCCTCCTCGCCGGGACTTTGAGGGTGCTGTGCTCCCGGTGTGGGTGGGCTGGGCTGCTCTCCAAGAACAGAGTTCCTTCAAAAGCAATGAAACAAAACAGAACACTTAGCCGGGTGCCCGTGGCTCACTCCTGTCATCCTAGCTACTCAGGAGGCTGAGATCTGAGGATCGTGGTTCAAAGCCAGCCTGGGCAGGAAAGTCTGTGAGACTCTGATCTCCAGTGAACCACCAGAAAACTGGACGTGGCGCTGTGGCTCAAGTGGTAGAGCGCTCGCCTTGAGCTGAAGAGCTGAGCGACAGCACCCAGGCCCAGAGTTCAAGACCCATGACTGACAAACAAAACAAAATAGAACACTTGTTATCATTTTTCTTTATGCCCTGTTGGCTTTTGTTTCTGTCTTAAGCTTATATGCTTTTTTTTTTTTTTTTGCCCATCCTGGGCACTATCCCTGAGCTTCTTTTTGCTCAAGGCTAGCACTCTATCACTTGAGCCACAGTGCTACTTCGGCTAACTTCTGTGTATGTGGTCCTGAGGACTCAAACCCAGGGCTTCATGCATTCTAGGCAAGCACTCTACCACTGAGCCACCTTCCCAGCTCAGCTTATATGCTTTTAAGGTTGCCTCTAGGTAGAACTTTGCTCATTTCTTTTATCTCTGTCTTTGCACAAGTGACTCTTGCCCTGAGAATGGGTGAGAAGTGTAATAGCTCATCATTACCTATGCTTCGATTCATAGCACATGCGATCATGTTTGCTTCCTCCTGGAGGAGACCCTACCTAGGGGCTTCAAGACATAGGAGCACAAAATTGGATTTTTTTAAATTGTTGTAGTTTGGTCATGGGGCTTGAATCAGGGCCTGGGCGCTGTCCTTGAGCTCTTTTACTCAAGGCTAGTGCTCTACCACTTTGAGCCACAATACCACTTCAAAATCAGGATTTTTTTTTTTAAGTGGGTTGTTTTGGAAAAGCAATCTTTGACACTACTCAGGGCGGGTAACAATTTCATGATGTCATGATTAACTTGTACCCAGGTGCTGCAGGTGCATTAACCACAGAGACTTAATGAATGGACAGGAGTCAATAGCTGCGTTCATCTATAACAAGGGCCTCCAATCAACATGCTTTCTCCCCAGCGCTTATCAAAATTGAAGACTAGCCCTCTGAGACACAGATTTATTCCTGTATTGATAGTCCTGACAGTATCTGACAGGCAGCATCTTGGTAAAGTAAGGGAGACCAGTGTACTTCCTTCATGAAATACATATACAACCAGAATGACAACATTTGCTCCCAACTCATTTGTCGATTTCACAAAGTAGACAGACATAGACAATTCATTGTCGACAGAGTGGATTCGAACATCTCCCAATTCACTCCCTCCTTTTCTCCCCTTGCTTCCAAACTGATTTTTTTGTTTTGTTTTGTTTTTGGGGTCCAGTCGTGGAGCCTGAACTCTGGGCCTGGGAGCTGTCCCTCAGCTCTTCAGCTCAAGGCTAGCGCTCTACCACTTGAGTCACAGCGCCACTTCCTGCTTTTTTCTTTCTGCTTATGTGGTGGTGAGGAATCAAACCCAGGGCCTCAAGCATGCAAGGCAAGCGCTCTACCACTGAGCCACCTTCCCAGCCCTTCAAACTGATTTTTTAGAGTAAACTTTCTAGTTACTGATCGTGATGTTCTCTTAATTATTTAGGGTTTTTACTCTTTATTATCTTTCCTAGTGTAACAAGTATCTTCAGCTAATTTTGAAGTTGCTTCAGATTCTGTTTATGTTTTTTTTTTCTTTCCAAATGACAAGTAGGAAGTACAGGTGAAAATCCTGTCTTAATGAAGCTAAATCTGCACCTCACTGTTTTCTTTCTTAACTCTGGTGGACCTCCTGCCTTCCTAGAGCATATCGACATATTCCTTTGCATTTGCTGTTGAAAGATTATATCTGCCTCTGGTTTTTCCATTACTATGGCACATCTAAGCAACATTATAAATAGACATTATGAAGAAAGACTAGATCTGGAAGTTATTGTAACACCAATCCTATTTTGCTCAAAATATCAGGTAATGTCATCCAAAATAATTTCATCCACATAATATTAATCAACATTGATGTAATGACAGAGCCAACTTTTTACTGAAAAAAAAATAAGTCAAATTGTTATCATCAGATCAAAGGCTTATGGTTATGAGAGTTACTGACGGGAGGAAAATTCTGTTAGCGAAACTTTTCCAGACCAAATAACTTCATCAGCCTAGGCTTGGACATGCAGCTTAGAGTTAAATTAAAATGAGCAATTTTAGAAAAGCACGAAACTACAACTACACAGCCAAGAGCAATGCCGTATTGACAGGAGGGGGGGAAAACACTTACAAGTTATATCACCCTTAATTTCAAGTTTATGAATATAGACATGGATATCCAAAGTACATTATGGGGATAAATTCCATTTGGTCTTTAATTTGTTGGGGGCGGGAAATGAGGAGGGGGAAGATCCCTACAGGAGAGCTGTAATTAGAACTCCTCAAATAAAGAGGCTTTATTTCAAGGCAAATAGTTTTGTAGCTGTGGGTTATGTAGTTGTGATGACCTTCCTCGGCAAGCCACTTAATTCAGACTTCTTTGAAATAGCAAGGAATCAACTACCTAAGAAACAGCCAGTAGATGTTTTCCAAAAAGAGTTTCCTGTTTTTCTATAAATATATTCCCAGAATGTCAGCTGTGTTATCCGTTTCGGTGTCGGCTCGCACGGTTACTCATGACTGACGTTGTTAAAAGCCTTTTAAAAACACGTCCTTCCAAATGTGTCATTTTGTCCATGGTCTGAATCCCATTTCACACAGGTGCTTTCACAGGGAATTCCAAAATGCTCTTTCTTCATCTTTGTAATTATTTCCCCACAACTCAGCTTTGTTTTCCAACGATGGTTAAGCCAGTTTTAAAGATTTCATAAATAAAACACCATCCAGCCTCCTATTTTAAACATCATTTGTAACTATTAGAACATTTCTAAAATAGCCAAGACTTACTGGAATGACGACTGTGGGTTTTTGGAAAGCCACAGGCCACTGTCACTACTTCAGTGAGATCAAATATCCCTTTTCAAGGGGGCAAAAAAAAAAAAAAACAACCAACACCGATGTTTTAAAAATAATTCTCTTTCCTTCTGTCCTTTGTAAGGAAAGCCCTGAGGTTTGGGTGAAGTACACAGATGGCTTTCTCTTTAAATCTTGGTACAACCGCATGGTGAGATTTTTGGACTGGCCAACTTTACCTGAAGATCCGACTTTGTGCCCGCACCTCTGATTTTGGACAAAAAACAAAAACAGAACCCAAAACCATGGGCAGGAAGAAAGCAGGGACTTACCAGAAGGTGCCAGCTGGGTTCGACCCGCTAGTGCCTGTGGGAAGGAAGGGCCATCTCCTTCCCTGAGCCTAATCTCGTGGCCCTGGTGCTTAGCAATATAACTATCCCTGACTTTTATCAGCTGCCAAACAGTGACATCTGATGTGCTCGCCTGTCCATCCACCTATGCCGGCATGTCAAAGTAAGAGTCCACAATCTAAACAATATCTCAGATGTCACGGGGGATATTTAAGGAGAGGGGTTACATGAGCTTTGCTGGCGGGGCCTCTTTATTTGAGACCTGAATTTTGTCTCGGAGTTTACTTCCCAAGCAAAGCTCCTGAGCAGGCAGCGCTTCGGATACAGAAACGGGACATTTAGAGCTTTTCTCGCTAGTTGAGACTTCTCCTGTGGCGAGACCTGGGGCCGATTGGCTCCAAATTGATTGGTATTGCGTCGTTCTGAATCTGAAAGATTCCCCCCGCCATTTTCACTTGCCTAATAAGAGTGGGGGGTTGAGACTCATTCAAGTAGTTAGTTCTCAGAGGGAGAAGGGGCTGGGTGACCCATCACCAAGAAGGAAAAAATACGATTCAGTTTCTCTAGCAAGTTTCTTGAACCTGTCTCTGGCATGTGTTCCTCTGGCCTAGTACTTTTATTCTGGAAGACTTTTGAAATATGTGAGAAACAACCAAACAGACAAGCAATCTATATAAATAAGCCTGTCCACGTTCCCCGGGTCACTCCCTTAATCCCAAACCAGTTATAGTTTCCTTCCTCCATCTGTCAGGGAGTTCATTATAGGATTTATGTCTCTGAGAGTGTGTGTGTGTGTGTGTGTGTGTGTGTGATTTATGTCTCTGAGGGTGTGTGTGTGTGTGTGTGTGTGTGTGTGTGTGAGATTTATGTCTCTGAGGGTGTGTGTGTGTGTGTAGAAGAAACCTTCCAGCCAATCAAATAGAAACATCTCCATGAAATGGCTTCCATTTCCCTCTCTTAGAAGTCCCAGCTACTTGAGAGGCTGAGGTAGGATAATCACTTGAGCTTAAGAGTTGGAAGCCAGCCTGGGAAGCATAGCAAGATACTATCTAAAAAAAGAAAAAAAAAGGAACAAAAGCTGGGCACTGATTGGCTCACACCTAACTCCTCAGGAGGCTGAGATCTGAGGATCACGGTTCAAAGCCAGCCCAGGCAGGAAAGGCTGTGAGACTCTGATCTCCAATGAACTGCCAGAAAACCAGAAGTGGCGCTGTGGCTCAGCCAGCCTTGAGCAAAAGAATAAAGAAATGAAAAGAAAGTTTCTTCTACATGTCACTTGCTTTGGTATTCAGAGTAACTGGCACCTGAGTGGGCAGCCGTTACCCCATAAGAAAAACCCACGCTCGACTTGGTGAGTAGGTGGATGTCTATCAAAGTCTTATTTTAGGAATCTCCCAAAATATTTCTCCACACCTACTTGCTGATATTTCGCATTCCATTAATAGGGACAAAAATCAATCCAAATTACGGAGACTTTAAATACGCAAGTGCACAACAATAATAGCTAACACATCCAGAAGTCACCGCACGCCACGATTTTAATTGCTTTCAATGCCGTCTGTGTGATGGACACTTGCTTCTATCTGATTAGGTCCCAGGAAGGGAAGACAAGATTTGCGATGTCTCGGTACTGCAAGTTTGAGATCTACCACACCAGACATGGACAGGAGACAGGTAGGATCAACTGCTAAATTTCCAATTTTGTTCACTTCCAAATGTGCTACAGTTGAGGAAGATGTGTGTGTGTGTGTGTGTGTGTGTGTGTGTGTGTGTGTGTGTGTGTTCCTAGGGCTTGAACTCAGGGTCTAGAAGCCATCCCTGAGCTTCTTTTGGGTCAAGGCTAGCTCTCCACCATTTAAGCCACAGAGCCACTTCTGGCTTTTTCTGAGTAGTTTGTTGGAGGTAAGAGTCTCATAGATTTTTCTTGCCTGGGCTGGCTTTGAACCATGATCCTCCTGGGTAGCTAAGATTACAGGCGTGAGCCACCAGCGCCTGGCCACTCTATCTTTATCCTAAGAATGACCATGAAGAAACTCTTATCACAAAATGCTCTAAATATCTGTATTGATGAAGCTGGGATTTCTATTCAGGGAAAAGATTTCAGCGCTGCTTCTGTTTCTCATCTCATTTCCTTTGAGTAAGTCTCTGTAACAGACCATAAATATACATCTAAGGTCGAAACTTGTGATTTCAGCCACAGTGAGGGGTAGGACTGACAGCAAGGGAGCACCACGGAAGTCAGAGGGACTCTGGTCAGAACGTAAGCTCACGGAAGGCGGGAAGTTCACCATGCTCTGTCCAGCAAATCAAGAGTATTTGCTGAAATGTTGAAAGGCGTAACACTGATCAAACTATACTGCATTCATAAACTTCTTGGTTAAATGGCAATTCCCTTGTACAACTACTTACAGAAAATTTTTTTTTAAATACAAAAAATAAGAGAGATTATGTCAAGTGAAAAACCCTTGGGAAATAAATTGTAACATGAGCCGGACGCCAGTGGCTGAGATCTACGGATCACAGTTCGAAGCCAGGTTGGGCAGAAATTCTTATCTTCAGTAAACTACTCAGAAAAGCTGGAAGTGGCACTGTGACTCAAGAGGCAGAGCCCAAAGAGGCTCAGGGACAGAACCGAGGCCCTGAGTTTAAGCCCTAGGATGGGCAAAAATAAATACATACATAGCAAATTTGTAACATGACTTGTTTTTGTAAATCACGAAATCACATTGGAACTTGACCACTGATCCTAATAGTTACTTTGATGATTCTTTTCAAAATAATCATTCAAGTATTGAAAATTAGAGTTTGGGGTTTGTCGTTGTTGTTTGTTGTTTCTGCCCAGCCTTACCATTGTGGCTGTAACCCAGAGGGATTTCTGCTGATGGCACAGATGTTGGGTGCTGGGATCTCGTGTTCGCCGTGGCTGTCTGGGTCAGGGGCCAGCATGAGACTACTGGAGGCATGTTCCGGATTTCTGTCTTTCGTATAGCGTTCTCCTTGAGGAAAATGGGGCCGGCTGTGGGGAAAACGCATTCGTGGGAGACCTTGGAGAATCCTTTGGTTTCTCGACTTCTTTTCCTTCTGAAAAATATAATTCATCACCTGTTCAGGTAAAAATAGAATCCTCTTGACTCGGGGCTGAATTGGAGCATGGAGATTTTTTTTTAAGAGTGATTACCTGGAGAAACAAAGAGTTTTGCTGTTGAGACCACAGTCCCAGCTTCATTTTCTGCAGTGCACGTGAACTTCCCAGAGTCCTCGGGAAAAGCTTCTGTGATAATTAAGGTGCAAACTTCCTCTGAAAAGGGAAGAAGTTCGACTCCCGTCAGCACACATGGGTGCCCTAAGTTAACACACAGGCAGTGTTGTCAAATGTGAGGGAATAAAGGTGCTAGGAGTAGAATATTCCAGAGGTTAAAAAAATACCCATGGGCTGAACCCTAGTAGCTTACGCCTAGTTACCCAGGAGGTTGAGATCTGAAGGTCTGAAGCCAGCCTCAGGTAGACAAATCCAAGTGACTTTTTTTTTTTTTTATTTGTTGGTCATGGGGCTTGAACTCTGGGCCTGGGCGCTGTCCCTCAGCTCTTCAGCTCAAGGTGAGCGCTCTACCACTTGAGCCACAGCGCCACTTCTGGTTTTCTGGTGATTAATTGGAGATAAAAGTCTCACAGACTTTCCTGACCGGGCTGGCTTTGAACCGCAATCCTCAGATCTCAGCCTCCTGAGTAGCTAGGATGACAGGTGATAACCACCAACGTCAGGCTCCAAGAGACTCTTATCTCCGAAAAACAGCAAAAAAGCTTCGAATGGTCGAGTGCCATCTTTGAGTGAAAAAGGTAAGCAAAAGCTGGATGCTCTGAGTTGAAGCCACAGTACAGTGCATACATGCATCCACGTGTGAGCACACACATGCACACACGAACAAAAACACAACCAAATCCAGCCATCCATCTGATGAGGTATTTTGTCATCCCAGGCAGCTCATGAGTATAAAAATTAAAAAAAAAAAAACACAACCTAATACAATCTGGGAGAGTAAAGGGGAAATATTGATCAAGATGCCTTTTATTCATACATTGACCTGTTGAATGGAAATTCCTTTGTACAACTCCTTAAAGACAGTGAACAAATAAATTATTTTAAAAACAACAACAATCACTTGTCTTATCTGTCCGATGTATCTGTTTTCTCTACTAGCTATCTCTTGAAACATGGGATCCCGTTATACTCCTAGACTTCTGTATTTTGTAGCTTTAGCGCTTTGCATAAAAAACCTATAGAGGGGCCACTGGTAGTTCCCACCTGTAATCCTGGCTACTCAGGAGGCTGACATCTGAGGATCGTGGTTCAAAGCCAGGTCAGCCAAGAAAGTCTGTGAGACTCTCATCTCCACCACCGGAAAACCGGAAGTGGCGCTGTGGCTCAAGTGGTAGAGCACTTGCCTTAAGCTGAAGAGCTGAGGGACAGCTCCCAGGCCCTGAGTTCAAGCCCCACGACCAATCAAAAAACAAAACAAAACAAAAAAACAAACATTTTCTGAAGTGACCTAACAATTGCCATTCCTGCTAACAAAGCAGGAGAGACCTGGGAAGATGATGCATGGGAAAGAGAAGGCAGGATTTCAAAGATAAACACTGCACTAATAAGGAGCTTCATTCCAGGACGGAGGCACTGTTTTCTTTCCTTACAGCATGCTACTCCCTCACTGTGGCTCAAGTGGTAGAGCGCTAGCCTTGAGCTGAAGAGCTGAGGGACAGCACCCAGGCCCAGAGTTCAGGCCCTACGACTGGACCCAAAAAAAAAAAAAAAGTAAGACATTGGTTTTAGAAGGAGTATTGGAAGGCTCCAATATCTGTATAAAGAGATGTTCAGATGTCTAGGTCATAATGACCCAGACTTTAATAAACAAACCAGCTCTGGTGTCTCTTGAGTCCCAAATGATAATTGATTAAATGTGCCAGGTGCCCAAACCCAAATTTACCTTCGTCCCTACATTCAAGCTTCCGATATTACATGTCCCTGCACCCATGGCTCTGTGTGTGTGTGTGTGTGTGTGTGTG